GCTTTTAGTAACAAACAAGTTTTTGTACCATTCTCACTTTTATGTCCCTCTATGCCGCTTTACTGAGTGGGAGGCCCCAAAGGCATTTCTACTAACTCACATCACAACTGCAAAGCCCATTTGCTTCAGAAGCTCAATCTAATGACAGTCATATGACATGTAAGCTACCGGCACATGTACGAGCTGGTAGCATGATCCCGGGATGAGATTGTGTTTGGATCCAATCAACAGTGCAGAAACTAGATTTCTACTGAAGTAAAACCTGCCAGTGGAACAATGTAATGGTACACTTAGGTGTGTTAGAGTTTTAAGCACCAATAAATAAAACCATCACCGCTGTGATAGTGTACTTTCTGAGAGTGCGGCAAATAAGTACAAACATTCTCACTGCTGGTCCAAATCACACGTGAAAAATCAATGGGATTTAATTCCCTTCAGAACGGCAGTATTTTCAGCTCAGCTTGTAGAGGCGCACTTCCTGTAGGTACCATCCAAAGGAAGTCTGACATCTGCTAGTGGTGCAATAGTTACGTTTTGTGCAGAAAACGCAGTCTAAACCACAGTTCATGGCAAAGGACAGGATATTATGACAAAGGTTCAAACAAGGCCACCTGGGGATTTTCACAATGAATGTAAAAAAAAATAAAATGGATGCACTTGGGGTTGGAGAAGAAAAAGTTGAGAAAGTGTCATTTTGAGACAAACAATTGTGACTTTTAGGCATAAGAGGTTCTCTATACGGGACTCAGAGCATTAATAGAGCAGCAATGTAAAGATCTGGTGGAGTGACGTCTCCCTCTGTGTGTGTTGTTATCCGGGCTTCTCCTTGCTTTGTTGACAGAGCCGTGTGTGCTTTTACTGGCCCGCTCACAGCCGCCGCTCTGCACTGCAGTTATGGCTGATAACGTCGTCACAACCGACGCCGGCTTCACAGGAGTTGCACCCACCCATCTGGTTTCCCTCAGGGTAACACTATAAGCTCTGTCAGCACTTTTGACATTGTTTGCTCAGTTAGCGCTGTTAGCACCGTTAGCCGTTACCTGCCGGCTCAGCCGTCACCATCTTGAGAGCCATTGAGAGGAAATCATAATGCACCTAATGTAAATATAAGGCACCTTTGTTACAAATGTCAATGAAGATTGTCAATGCACTGCTGAAGGACTACCAAGTTGATCCATATCAAATGTATCAACAACAATTTTCTCAAAGAGATTAATAGTTACGAACAAGAAAAACTTCAAAGCGTTGTTTTCTTAAATGTGGAAACATGCTGCGGACTGTTGGTTTCACAAAACAGGTAATTTGACGTCACCTTTGCCTCTGGGAAATTGTAATATGTACTTTTCTCTATTTTCTGATAATATGAATACTCTATTAATCAGATTCAATTAGCTTTTTTCTAACCTCAGTAAGGCACCAAATGAAGTTAAAATAATCAACAGATCAAACAATAATGAAAATGATCGGAGGTTCCTTATCTCAATCACAAGGATCAAAATAGGCGAACGTATCCCATAACGATAAACTAATCCGACTTTAATACTGCAGTCACATAAAGCCACCCCAGTCTTGTAGCTTCTGGGGGAAAGGCCCATTTGAGGGCCCACAGATAAAGCGAAACAAGGAAAATGTCTGTGTGAGCACTGGGTGTCTGTCAAAGCAGGAACTGGGAGGTGTTCTCCGTTGACCTCTGAGGGCAAGGACTTCCCAAAGCCCCTCTGCAAAACAACAGCAGACTCGGCAGCTGACAGTGGGACACAGGCGGCTGGTGCTCTGCCTTGAAAAACCCACCGACTCCCCCCCCCTGCCCCAGCTCTCTCTCGGATGTACCATCCATATGGGCAAGGCAGTAAAGCCCTTAGAAACTGGCAGCGGGAGAAGGCAGAAGCAACAGCTATCACCTCGCCGATATGATCTGTCTGGAATGTGGCAATGCTGTATGTGAACAGACACGTTTGTGATTACAGATACAGCAATGGGCAGACGGGAAGGTTTAGCCAACAGCAGCTTGATCCCGACCCGAGAGCAGCAATCAAACTGTTTACAGTATGACACGTCGCATGTATGATTCATATTGTGCCGGCAAAGTATGATTCAGACGTGCATGAATCCTTTGGAGGACTTCTTATGCATACGTCAACATTGGATGTCCCGAAGGGGTAGGACTAAGGATTTCTTTTGTTTATTACAAGTCAAATAAAAGGTAGTTTGGGGGTTAATGTAGCAGGCATGGTGAAGCCTATTTGAACCTCCACAGAACGCTGCAAGAGGCACTGGGTAAGCGCTGGATCAGTCAGTTGTTTTTCATGTTCCTTCTGCTTATTCTGGACATTATACAACAAAAGCACTTAGGCCACTCACACTTGTCCTTAAAACACTGACCACCTCTGGAAGCCCCCCCATCGGCCCTCGAGAAGAGATAAACCCCGACCAAGTGATTCATTCGGCAGCGCTGAGACACCAGAGCGTGACTGTTACTCCTTGTGGAGAAGCAGCGTGTGTGAAAAGTGACTATACATGCGTCTCCAGTGGCGCTGTCACATGGTGTGAGGGGGGCGGGACACAGAAAGTTTGTGCTCATCATGTGTTTGTGCAACAGAGCGCTGTTGTAGAAAGAATGAGTCACTGCTGAGAGTTAATAGCAGTTTTAAACAATTTGCATTTAACCAGGACTAGTTATGCTCGTTAGTGAGAAACAGACGTGTTGTCTCCTGTCTTCCCCCCCCACTTGCATCCAGGCTTCAACTGCCACAAGTGTTTTTGCTCCCTGATTTTGCATACAATTTGCATGTGGTAGTACCAGTTTTTAGTCTCTCCTAACCCTGCACTGGGACATGCTGTGTGCCACATTTTTCACAAACCATCCGTGGAAGGTTACAGGAGTTGTATTTTAAAAACACAATGACAAATCATTTCAACAACTAACTACTGATTAACAAAACACAGGCCACGTCTGGTTAAAGGAGGACTTCGCTGTAGAAAGGGGTGGAATATTGACAGGACAAGTGTTGGTAAGGATTAAAACATTTTTCCCTTGTTGCAAATAATCTCCTAAAAAGAAAAAGAAAAAAGGAGGCAAAACAGTACGAAGTGTAGCGATCAACATGGCAGTTACAGTCCTGAAACTCCTCCGCTCATTCCGATTGAATGACCTATCAAACCTGCCACCGTGTTCTCTTGGGAAACACACCTTCGGGCTGGAATGTCTGCCAGTATGTGAAAGTAGTATCTGAAAATATCCCTCTCCATTAAGACGTCAACTATGTCAGATGACAGCAATACTGCTGAGTAAATGGCCCCGATTGTCCCTAGCCTGTCTTTAAATGGAAGGAATTTGAGATGGACCGATTATCGCATTCACAAGTCTGCCTGCTCTGGACACTCCATCTCATGACACTGTTTTCTGGCAGTGTGTGTGTGTGTGTGTGTGTGTGTGTAGTTGCTTATAGGTTATTACTCAGGGTGAGAAGCACGGTGAGAAGGGCTGAGAGGCTGTTCCCTCCTCTCTTGCCTGAGGAAGGCCATTATTATGCCTTGTGAGGTTTTTTTTCTCGTTGTTTATACAGTACTGCTATGAACTAAGCAAGTTTTTGTTTCCTCTGTGCAGCTGCCGTTCCATACGGACCTGTGTAAACATTAGCCAGCTTTAAGTGGAAGACAATGAGGAAATGACAGGACAATGGGGGTGAAATGGGGGGGGGGGGACTACATTTGAGGACATTCGAGGATGGATTTCCAGATGAAAACAGTGAGATGACATCATGGCAAAGTCTGCTAGTAGGAACACGGAGAAGGCCCAGCAGTGCAACACCATACATAAACAGTGGACAGCTGTATTTATAGGAGATTGTCTCATGGTTCTATCTGCCTCCATAAATCCTATTATCCGATTTGTTGCCATTCCCCTTTGCCCCGGCACCCAGCAGGAGACTGGAGCAGCTTTTGGCCCATGGAGCTTCATCAAGGCTCTCAAAGGCCTATCTGCAGTTCTCACTGTTGTTGTGACATGAGTTGGCTAGGCTGTGATGAAAATTGGCCACATGAATGCTTCATTAGACATTACCTCATCATGATCGGATAAAGCCAAGTGGCAGTTTGTGTCTGAGAGCCATCTAGTCAAAATCATAGACAGCTGTCGGGTATTACGCAGGCTTACCTCCATGTTGGCCCCCACAGTGGGAGGCTATATGTCAAACCTGGCAACTGCTTTTTTTCCATGTAAAACATACATTTCTAGTTTATTATGGTCGGGGCTGTTGTTTTTTTCTCCAGAATAACACGTGGTGCCTCCTGTAGGTCATTAAAATTTGAGGAGCGGTCCAGATGGTGGTGGTTGGGGTGCACCTGCTGCTACAGTGGGACTTTCTCAGTTTGACACAACTTATCGGAGATGCAGATGTGCACAACACAAAGCGGTGTGACAGATAATTAACTCTTCAGACACAGAGAGACTACGCGAAAGTGGAATTCACTTACATATCTTCTGAGCTTCTTCTCCGGTGGCGACTTCCTCAGCCAGCCCTGGAAGATGATTTCACCGCCGCTCATGTTTGTCAGTGTCTGTTGTTTCCTCTCGCGCTACAACCCGCCGTCCGTCACTACTAGTACATGACGGCTCCTGAAGGCTTGCCCGTTCAAAGTGCTGTCGGCGTTGGGCTCCCACTGGCGCAGTCTGCTCCCCCCATTTGATCAAAAAATCAAATAAAAAAAAATCAAAGTGGTGCTGGTCGGAGATGTTGCCGGGTCGCTCCCGGTGGCACTGTGCGCAACAGCCAGCGCGCAAAACGGGAGGAGAAAAAAGGCGCAACTCGACTCTCGGGGAAATTACGCACGGCCAGCTGACGAGGAGCCGCGGGGAAACTCAACTGATGCAGGGTGAGGAAGTATCGTAGAGTGTCTGCAGTTTGTTTTCCCAACTCACACCACGCCCACCGAGCGATGAGAGGGATGGGCTGCGCTGGGACGAACAGGACGGAAGAACTGCTCCGCCACCAAGTAGATCCAAGATGCCAACACGAGTGTAAACAATGGAGGAACCGATGTTTTAGTAAAATACTATTTATCCACGCTCACACCAAACAGATGTTTAAGCATTTCTGTTTTATTCCAAATACGGAAACGCATCTGATTTGACATTATTACATCAAACGCGTGTTGTATGTTTACCAAGTATAAATCAAAGTTAAAGATGGAGCTTTTTTTTTTAAAGATTTTCGGCACTTTGGAAAAGAAAAGGTCAAGATAACTGCTGTGAGTAAATTATTCGTATTTTCTATATTGGATGGAATGGGAAAAAGCACCATCTGGTGGAGATTTAAAATACTTGTCTGTCGCTCTAAAAACCGACATTGTTTTAATTAAAATATGGAAGTCGGTACAGGCAAATAAAATGATTCATGAAACTAAACACTTCCTTGCGATATGTTGAATAATTAACTGTGGATGAGTGAAATTCCCTCTCAGATGTGGTTGTAGGACTATCTCTTTTGTTCATTGTTTTTATATACAGCTGCAGATACATTTTTGATAATAACTAATCATATTTATAAACCAATAACAAGAAAAACTATGTTGAATATAATATTTATTTGACAGACAGCAAATACAGACTTCAAAATATCTACTTGGCCAGAATTGTGTTTTATAGAAGACAAGAATGGGACGATCTGGGGAAAGCAATCACATCTTTTATGTTGTCAACACCGAGAATGCATTGCAAATATCGCTCAAATCCCAATCCAAAGCCACCATGGGGGACGGAGCCAAAGCGCCTCAAATCCAGATACCTGCCAATAAATGAACATGTCATTACGACTTTGTTGGTGTGGAAGGACGTCTCTATTCAAATGTTGGTAATGTAAATATGTTTTCTTTCTTACCAGCTGTAGGTGTCTCCTAATCCAGCCCTGGAAAAGTATAATAATTCATGTATGAGCCTTTGGTCAAAACACAAACTCAAAACTATACTATCAATCAATGTGAAAACAACAAAGCTGACTTTATTTGCAGACTTTCTCCTCTGTGCCTAATTGAGGGTTACGAACTCAGAACAGGGGCTGATGTAGATATTAGGGTTACACTTAGAGCAATAGAGTCATTCACCAGGACATTGTTCTGATGATGCATTCTTTAGAATAGCAGACAGTCAGTGTTGTCCAACACAAATGTGACAAAGGTTTCTCTTGTCCAAAGCTAGTCAGTAAAACCTGCAATTAATGTTATTGTTATTTCATTTGTACAATAGATTCATTGTTTATTGTTCCGTTATGTTCTTTTATAACATAATAAATAATAGATATATAAATGTAATGGTATATGCAGTATAAAAGTCAATGTATCATTTAGTTTCCCTACCACTCAATATGTGTGGTGAGTCAGGGGGCTTAAAAACCTGCAAACCCAACTGAAGAAGTTGGGTTTCCCCAAGAAGTGGATTTGAACAGCTGAATCACTAACTTTCTGCACATTGCTGCTCTGTGAGGTGGTGAGAGAAAACAGATTCCTATTGTAAAAAGACACTGCAGCACTTGTGAAATGCGCCAGCTATCGCCTACTGGGATTATGCCTGATCTCAATTAATTAAAAATACAAACAAATTCAAAGCAACTCAGCAGATTTTGACAACCATAGTCTAAATATATTAGCATGGGCCTTGAACTGCCCCTGAAGTACGAGAGCTTACTCTTCCAGGCGAGCCCTCAGCAGATCCAGCCTCTCCTCTCTCAGCGAGCCCCCACAGAGCTCTCCGACTCCCGGCACCAGAAGATCCACTGCAGCTGCCTGCACACAAACGACAGCCGGGAGTCAGCGCAGATATGCAAAACGCCGCGATAACCCAACTGACATTACAAGGAAGGAACTGAGCCGTTAAATCATTGATTTCGCTCAGCATATTTAACGGAGTGGTGACGTCTTACCGTGTGTTTGGGATGATCCTGGTTGTCTCTCGCGTAAAAAGGCTTAAGATCGTAAGGATAATCAGTGACAAAGACTGGAACGTTGCCGCAATGTTTCACCAGGTACTTCTCGTGTTCTGTCTGGAGGTCACAACCCCACTGGAGAAAAGCAGAGCTGAGGTCAGTATGGAGCTCTGAGGGATAATAGTGTTAGCCGCAAACATACAGTAGAGATAGAGATCAAGTCTGCTCTGTTAGTAAATAAAGAAAACATCCAAACTTACGTCTGTTGGGAAGGTAAATTTCTGGGAGCTGTGGTTCAGGATGTCTATAGCTTCACTGTAGGTAATCCTAAAAGTACATTTAAATAGCATCAGTCATTCAAGGACTTTATTCTTTAGCTGACAATCATTTTACTTTCCATGTTGAGAAAAATAAGAGACTTACACGGGGAATCTCTTCTTCAGCATAGCTTCCACAGTGTCCTTGGAGTGAATGGACACAATAGGGGAAAACAATGCAAGTTGAGATAATATTGAAGTCGGGTGTATTTGTGGCTGGTTGGTATAAGGAGCCAGGTTATGCACCCACGTGTAAGTGTCCTTGAGGACTCACCCTGTGTCCAGGAGTCACATGCTTGTGAAACAAATCCACATCCTCGGCACAGTGAGCCAGGACATGCTCCGTGGCAGACCTGAACATGTCCTCCATGACCTAAGGAGCGGGGCCCGGTTTAATAATTAAAGCTTTGTCTGGCCAACTTGCGCATGAGAGGAGCTTTAAAAGTCACATAAGGCAAGTGTAACATTTGAACTTCAGTACACAGGAACTGATGTGGTGTGACAACAAGTTCACTTCATCCGAGATCCTCACGTTTAAAGAATTAGCCGGTCCGTGATGTCTGCATTTTATCAGACAACTTTAATGCTACTTAGTTTCTTCAGACAAAATGAGGTAAAAAGAATATAAAACATTCTGTCCATATAGTCCAGCACATATCAATACACTTCAAATCCTGAAAGTGTATTTTCATAGCATGCTGAGATCCATCTGTTCTATGCACAGAATATAAGTTGAGTGGGAAGCAGTTAACAGGCTAGAACATGTTAACCAATGTGCTACTTTGATCGATATCGTGGAGCGACATTGTGTTTGTAGGACAATGACACAGTGTACCTTGGTGAGATCCTCTAAGGACTGCGTGAAGGAGACCTCGGCCTCCACCATGTAAAACTCAGCCAGGTGGCGTCTGCTTTGGGAGTTCTCTGCGCGAAAAGTTGGCCCAAATGTGTAGACTCTCGAAAAAGCCCTGGAAGAGGAGGAGCGACAGGGCACAATTAGAAATCGTCCTCGGTGTGCGTGTGCACGTGTCTTACTTTCTGAGGCAGAACATACAAGTAGGATATGAGTTGTTTTAAATGGGCAGATGATCACTAGAAGATAGATTCATAGAGTTTATCTCACCCTGACATCACTTCCAGATGAAGCTGACCAGACACGGTCAGGAAAGCTGGGACAGAGAAAAACTTCTCACCTTCTTCATTGTCTGGGCCGGACGTCTGCGGTGAGAGCAGAGGTTCTGAAGTTTCGAACAATGTCATTGATCCTTTGTGTTCATATCAGAGCTTCGATCGACAATAACACTCTGGATGACACACTCACCTCGACCTGAAAGAGCTCTCCTGCCCCTTCACAGTCGTTTGAGGTGATGACCGGAGTGTGGATCTGCACAAAGCCATTTTCCTGAGAAAAAGATGAATAAATAAATAGAAAAAGTCTTGTTCTGCGTCCGATTAAAAATTCCTCCATCGATGAGCTCACCTTGAAATATGAGTGAACTGCTGTAGTGGCCTCACTTCGTATCCTCAACAGGGAGCTAAAGGCATTTGTTCTACACCTGAGGTGAGGGAACTGGCGAATATACTCAAGGCTGTGTCTCTCTTTTATTTTGAAGGGAAAATCCTGAAACAAGAATACAAAGCAACAATACTAAATGGCATTTCCTAAACAATGGCCATATTACAAAGTTATAACACGAGGTGAAGATAGCACAGTGAGCAAAATGACATCTGATGTTTGAGAAGACTTTTTTTTTTTTCTTACCACAGGGTTACAATCTCCAACTACGTGGATTTGGTCTGCTTCCAGTTCAACTGCCTGTTTTTGGTTTGGACTTTTCCGAAGAGTACCCGTGACTTCAACAGCACTACCAAGTGTGAGCAATCTTAATTTGAGAGAGAGAAGAGAGGAAGACAGTCAGTGAATATTCCAGTATGTGCACCCTTCATACCTAAAAATTATAATGTCAAGGATTATGTGCAGGAAATAAAACTGAAGTGCTTTACGGATCATTCAGCTCTGAGCTGGCGACGACCTGCAACGACTGCAGAGAGCTCCCATCATTCACATGGAGGAAGAGATTTGCCTTCTGAGGTCTAACGGAGCGAACCCATCCCTACAGCAGAGAAACAAATCAAATACCCCGAGGCTGCTCCCTTTGGTACTACACAAATATCCTTTTTCTCATTTGCATGTAATGTTCATGAACCCGGATGTTGGTAATTTGAGAATTCCACTCCTCATTCTTTCACAATAAAACGTCAACTACATGTATACATTGGCATCAATTGTCATAGTTTAGGGGGCTAGAATTCTCGAGTGTTTAGTTTTTTGTAAATGATGTATGGCTTAACGTAACGTAATGATGATCTAGGCTGCATTAATGGTTACTGTAAGCTTGCTCATTTATTCATGCATGTAAACACGTTGACATTAGCTAAGCTGCATGTTACTGGAGCATAGTTGTTAGCACTTAAATGAAACATATGAAGTGATAAGTAGGCGTTAAGTGTTACCTGTACTTTGACATTTGCTCCCAAATCAGCTCCTGCAACAGCTTGGGACACTCTAAGCTTCGCTGGTGTCTTCTTGCAGTAACGTCGAAGACTAAACGATGTTCCCCGGGTTAACGTCGCTGCTGTGGTCGTTGCAACAGAAAGCGTTTTAGCTGCAGCCTGAAACATCGTGAGGAACGCCGCACTTTGAGGCACGAAAGCATGCTGAAAGCACGAGATGTTGCGAGAGCTTAAAGACACGATAAACGACATTTTCAGTAGTATATTTATCGTTTTGCTCTAACTTGACTGTCACGTTGTGTCGCACAGTGACACTTCCTGTTTGGGTCTTTCACCATTCGCCGAGCTCCGTCACGTGGATTTCAATAACCCAATCAGGTGTCGCTATCTGACAGCGAGTCTTTTTGTTATGCTCCAGGGTGATGTAGTTTTCTAACAGGAGCCTCGATGCCATTTTAGGAGTTCAGGATTATATTTTCGTTTTATTTATTGCAATTATTCTATCAATGTTTATGATATCACATTTCATGGTGGACTCTACATAGAGACGCATTTTAAAATAAAAATGTAATAAAAAATAAGTATCATGAGAGTTTTAAGGGAAGAGCAGTATGCAGATGATGACATCACTTTAAATCCTTTAAATTAGTTTGAGAAAAAGAGAAAACCATACAGTGTTTGAAGTTTTTAAGTAGATCACTCACTTTTTGACTGAATACAACTATAAGACATGGACAAATATAACACAAAACCTCAGGATAAATCCACAAAAATGAAAATAAGCAATTCATGATAAACATTCATGTTCTCTGCTCTGTAAGAAGCATTTCTATTTGAATGTCACTGTCACTGTCTATAAGCAGTAACAAGATAAAGATAAAAGTGCTCATCATTTGTTTTAATGCAAGCAGCATTTTCCTGATGCAAAACCTCTCTTCAGAACCACTGGCAACAATATATCACACAAAAGAACATCAACCAAAGTTTATTCTACATACAGGGAGAACTGTGAAATATATTTCCAACACCAAAGCGTAACATGTGTGGAGTGATTCAATAGTGTAATGAAGCAAACAGAACAGCCATCACTACCACGTGGAAATCCTCTTTAATCTTACATGATGTATCTGCCGTCAGTGTGAGGTCCATTTGTGCGTAAACCTCATCAATCCAATACCCACAACGACAACTGGGTCTATTCCCACCATTTGCTGCTGGAGTAAATCAGATCATGCCAGCAATGTAATAAGATGCCATAGACAATTACTCACCTGGACTCGCCTGTCAGCTCTGGAGCCCCTGGTCTGGGCCTGCCAGCAAACACGGAGCTGGGTGTCTCCACCTCCGGCTGCTTATGACACATCATCATTAAACCCAACATGATGCATTTGAAAAGTCAGTGGGGTCATTGATATTAATTATCTCCAGCATGGATGGGGCAATTATGCACATGGTCTCGTCTTAATGGGGAGCAGAACAAATCCATTTTCCGATTCATTGACGGAGAGTGAAAAAAATACAATGGGTGATTTGTTGAGGTCGTGATGTCTGCATATCGTATGTCTCTGTGCCTTCAGAGCAAATTTGAAACATGGTGACTGTCAGACCGATTGAAACCAACAATCAAGTTATCTTTAATTTGCTGAAAAGAAAAACAAAAATAAAACAACAACATAAAGAATTATCCTATTAATTATAAAAAAAACAACAGAAAATGTATCAAAAAATGTAATTGTGTGTATTAATGGAGTAATATACTTCTGAAATCAGCTTTCTCTCTCCTCCTCCATAATTAAGTGCAATATCTTACTTTACCATAAGGTAGTGCTGTAGCTCTATGGCACGTCCACTCCTCCCTATAAATCCCCACCTACTGCAGATTTATTCATTTACCCCTGAGTTGCCTCCAATATATTATTCATTTGCAGCTCCAAGGTCTACTGAAATGGAAACAAGCTGGCATTGTTATGTTCTCTTTGCAGTTCTATCAAGAATAATGCAAAGGCCCTGCTGGCTTTCATCGACATCAGATAGTCCAGAGCAACAGTGAATTCAGGTTGCATCCAGCGACTGTTTTCTATGCATCAGTAGGAACAGCGAGGTTGAGATACCCCCCAGTGTTTACCCATAACTAGATTTGTAACCCCCCCCCTCTTTTTTTGCAGGCCTAACACATTCCGTGACAACCTGCATATGGGAGTGATACCTGATGGCGTGTCGCATGTATTTATATTTCCACAGACACACATCCTCCCCCACAAACCACCAGGCAATGTATGCATGACACAAGGTGAGACAGTATGCTCTGCTGTCTGTATGAAACGAAAAAGAAAAAACACACCAAAGTCGAGAGTTGTCCTGTTTACACTCTCCGATTAATCAAGAGGATAAGTTAAGTGGTGCTTCCAGTGGGAGACATGGCTCTCTGTTCTTGGAGCCTCTACAGGTAGAGGAGTTGTTTGCCAGCGGCCTGACAAACCTATTTGGGCTTAACAACTTGTTAAAATCAATACACGATTAGTCAGCAAAACAAAGGATTTTGCTGTAAAAGCTCGGATCTCAGGAGGATCACTGAACTCAAAGGGCAAGTGCGTCCTCTGCTCTCAGCAGGACGGCCTGTCCACTCTATCGACAGCATCTCCTGCCCGTTCCTTCCAACGAGCCTTCATCAGCCCCACCAAATATTCTGAATTCTCAAATGGAAGGGTGCATTGATTTTATGTAACATGGCTTGTTAAGTGCTGATTAGACCATTATAGTGATGTGATTTCAGGGAATGTGTCTGGGTGACAGGCGGCCGAGCACAAATCAAAAGGAACTAAAAACCCTTTCTGAAAGAGATTCGGGCCGCTGCATCGCTTCACCTGCTACGACTCTCCGGTTCCTACCAGCAGACTGTGTTTGCGTCGGCTCATAACTAATGGACCGGCTTCAGAAGTCAGCAGTTTAGAAAAATTATCCTTTCAAGACACTCAGTGTTTGGAAATGACGATGGTCAGCCATCACAGGGCGATCAGTTTCATAGAGGCTATATTTGTAAAGATCAAATGAGTGTGTTTGTCGTGAAATGCTAAACCGATTAGTTAAATGAACGGTCAACTATTTTGATGATTGATGATGATTGTTTAATTCATTTATAGTAGCACATTTTAGAGTAGCAAACAGCTGCTGTTTCTTAAATGTGAGCATTTTCCGCATATTTTCTGTTCTAAACCAAACTGAATATACATGAGGTTTGGAGTGTTGGTGAAACAAAACAAGCAATTTTCACACAGAGCTTTGGGAGGCTTGCACTATTTTAAAAGCTGGATTCATCAATAAATTGTACACCTAATTGACAGAAAGTCAATGTTGAAAATAGTCACTACTTGAAACCCTAATTTGTGCTGTGAAACATGCTGAGCACTCTGCAGAACTGCAGAAGGCTGCAATCAGAATGGAAAATGTTGACCGCTTAACGTCAGGTTTGACGTTGCATCTTTTAAGACAGCAATCATTGAAACATACTAAAGAAAAGGAACTGTCCCCTTGAGGTTGCCCCCTTGGGCTCCAGCTGTAATTATCATATGTATCATATATTTGAGGTGCATTCTATCACGAGCCACATCAAAGACAACATTTTCATCACCTTGTGATGGATAAAAGTTTTTCTGATCCTGATTTCAAATACCATTTTCTACCACTTTTGTGTAGTTTGGCTTACAGCTTAAGTCCTTCAAAAGTGAGCATGCTGTTCTACAAAGTCCTCTGTGAAGTCTTTAGTGAAAAAAAAAAAAAAAAAGTCTGCACTCAAGCCTCAAGCATATAAATCAGTCTCTGGCTGCAGGTAGTTATATTTCTGATTACACTATTGTTCTGCACTGTGTCGCCCCATTTCTTTTTACATGATTTACAGCAAAGCTTTCTCTGAGATATTGTTGCACTGACTCACAGTGGGACTATCAAGTCAGTACCCAACATTCATGTAGAGTGTGTATAATCTGGGAAGCAGCAATCGTGCAGTAGTGAGGGTGCATATCAGGAGGTTAACATGTTTTGATTTTACTGAACACAACTTCAGATCCAAACAGAGAACACTGACAGAGTTGGGGTCATTTTTCATATTTCAATTTTGCAATGGAAGGAAATCCCCCCCCGCCCCTCTGCTGAGGAGATAGGGAGATTAGAAGAATTAACTAAAATCACAGTTTAAAAATGTCACAAAAGTTTGGCACTTGAACTTTTCTTATGCAGTAGGTACTCTCCCTATGTCAAACTCTCCCGAGATGGATAATAATAGATGATGAAAAATAGAGAAGAAGCAATATCAACCTATCGTACCTAATCACACAGTGTTGTTCTCACCCACACGCACACAGGCCACAGTCAAATGAAACAATTCATTCTCATCCCCACTTCGCCCTTTACCGCAGCATCACCTGTCAGTGCCGGCTTCCAGGAAGATACGGTGTGGGCTCTGCTTCATTTCCCCAGGTTCTTTAATCTAACTTCCAATGAGGATAGAGCTACCTTATCCTCATTTACAGAATCATTTGCACAAATGATCTTAAATACTAACTCTCAATTGCGATGCAGGGATTCTAGTTATATATCTAGGTCAGCCCGGATGAATCTGGAATTCATTGCCTTACCTTATGCAGGGTACAGTATGAGAACGCCTGTGTGGGGATACTTTGATAGTAAATCCAGCATTTGTTGCACAATTGTCTTGACTACATGTTGTCATAATTAAATATATATTTGTAGTTATCCGTATAAAAAAACACTTAAACCCTACGGAATGGATTTTTTCTTTACCTCATGCTTTGTCAGCATGGGTCTGATCTCAGTGAGACGACTTAGAAAACGTTCAGCGCACAAAGTCATTTTCTCATCAAAATGTCCTGATGTCATATATTTTCCGTCAGGTTTTTGCAAAGGAAAATGCCTGCCGTGGGATTTTTATGATCTGTAGCTCCAATTGAAGATTTTACAACTCTTTCAGGACATTTTTAGCTGCCTAACATTCCTGCAAACTGCTGTGAACCTACAGAGTTTACCTCATCTGCTCGATATACATAGTTATTACCTCCTCCAGAGGGAGAATGTATTTGTATATGTCTGTCCGTCCGCTTGGGTGTTTGCGTGTCTGTCTCTGTATGTGGGTTTTTAACACTACCGGCCAAATAATCAAACACTCGGAACATTATGCAGCCTTTGAGCCAAGAATGCCAGTAAAATGATCAACAGTTCAGAAACAGCAAAGTACAAATGAGCAGTGAGAGTTGTTCTTTTCTATTTGTGCGGGAGCATTCTTTCACAGCCCTATCATTAATGTGTCCCTCCCTCAC